ACATACACCAAAACAAACTGCACCATCATACATTGTTCATTGCAGTTTGACCCTGTCCTGTTTTGTAGATTTAACAAACCACACAGTGATGGACAAACACGGGACAGACTGAACAATGGCCATGTAGAAGATGACCAGCAGCTCCTATGGAAGGTTCTAATAATTACAAACTTATTAGTTGCCAAGCAAGGACAGTCTCTAATGGGCTGTCTTCCGAACAGTGTCTTTGATGGACAAACATCAAAGACACTACCTCAGATCCTGAGAAAGGGTGTTTCCTTGTAACTGCAGTATCCCCAGTAGACAGTTTTTGAGGATGATGAGGGGACGGAATGTGAGGGAATCTTTAAGAATTCCACTGTCATCTCCACAGTCTCCAGTGATTAAGTTCTAAGGAAACTCTGTTCACAGTAGTGGAATTGTAGATCCACCAGCCAATTCACTTCCAGTCTTTATGCAAACTGATATTTGTTCAGCATTAGATCAATGAAAGTTACCTGCCCAGTGCTGATGGTTCTTCTGCAAGAGAATATGCTTCAAAGCTTCATCTGCTGCTGTCAGTCAATCAGGAAGCAAAACTTTGACTGGGTTGGAGGGCCACAAAAGAACCAAAACTAGAGTTCGGACAAAAGATGGAAAAGCTCCATATAAAGCACAGGTAGGAGGCCAGATGACAAAGGAGAGATTCAAGCATTGATTCAGTTTAGTTTAGTTCAAATTTATTTACTCAAGAACAGAAAATTCAATAGTGCTATGTGAAATACAAAACAACTGTTGTTTTGTTGATAGGTTTTCTAGCCACAGGCTAATTTGCAAATCCAGTCCTTTGATTGGACCTTTATAAAAAAGACAGCTTTGTAAATCATTCTAGTCGCCAACTCTGGGGTAAGACCAGAGGTGGTTAACTTTAAAAAAGAAAAAAATATACATTTTCTCCAGTATTTTTTCAGTGGTCCCACTTCAAGATTTTAAGTGCTTTTTTGCATAATAGCACCATAGCTTTTAAAGCAGACTGAGCTACTTTTCTCCCGACAGTGACAGAGTGTAAGAATTGAGACGAAATCATTGCATGCCAAATCAACTGGGCAATTTTTCCACATAAATATTATCTTACAATACAAAAACAGTTTAGGTTGGTCTTAATGGCTCTTAGTAAAGTGTAGATCTGATCTATCTTAACCCTAACCCCATCTTAAAATGCTTCTCATGTTTAAATGTTCTCTAACAATTCCTTCAGTTTTATTATCCTGGAATGTCCAGTTGCCTTACCACACAGTCATACTGAGGCAAAGGGCGCACTCAATATAAGTTCTTGAGCAACTGAGCAGGGAGTCCATACCTTTTCAGTTTCCTGAGGAAGAAGAGAAAAGAGGTGTTCAGCAACCTGTTCAGGTCTGGCGTGATGTTGATGCCCAGGAATTTGATGTCCACACACTCCTCCCCTTGAATCGTTTTAGGTATGTGGACTGTCCTCTTGCATGTCCTGTAGTCTACAATGACCTCCTTTATCTTGCTGGTCTTCATCACAAGATTGCTCAGTGAATACCACTTGGACAGGTACTAGATCTCCTCTCTTCTCATCATTGTCAGACCCACAACATCTGCAAACTTTAGAACGCTATTAAATGAGTGGATTAGATTTGTGGGAGAACAGAATAAAAATAAAAACAGACTAAGTAAACAGCCCGTGGATGGATGTTTGGTCAGGTGGAGAGGCTACTGGGGCAGCAGACTTAAGGTGCTTTTCCATTAGAACACCTCTAACCAATATTGTCTCAGTCCACCCTGGCCAAATTCTTTTCCCAAAGCAGTTCCAGCCCAGCTCTGCCTGGCTGCTCTCAGATTTTCATACCTACTTCAGGGGTAGTACTAGCAGCACTGAGCAGGGTACGGCACTGAAACCATTTGATTAACAGCTGACCGCATTCATTCATCAGTTTGTGATTTACATCACTGAAAACTCCAAACAACATTATAGTTTAGCTGTGGATGGCGGACATGCCATCTACTATCAGAGAGCTGCTCAGTATGGAGGAACATATGTTGGAATCAGCAGGTACATGAGGGCTCATGACTGGTGAGTTGTGGATGGACCAAAATGCAGACAAGAGCTGGGAGCATGGATTATGTTGAATGTTTTAGGAATAAAACTAATAGCTTATAAAAGTCACTGAGAATGCATGGAGCCAGAGCCAAACAAAAACAGGAACAAGGAACAAAAAGCAAACATGGACAAAGCAAGATTAGACGAGATTTTACTGGAGGAATCTGCAAGTAGCGTGAGCAGGAAAAGGGTTTAAATAATGCGATTGTCCTAGAACAAAAGACCTGGGGTGATTAGCAAGACAATTGTAGACATGAGGGGAGAGAGCAGAAGACAGAATGAGGAGAAAGATAAAGAGAGAGAAAGTGGCACGTGGGTGAGGAGATCACCAAGGGGACTAGGAAATGAATGTAACAGTAAAGCAAAACTAAACATAGGAAACAGAATTAAACTAGAATAACTAAGGATAACTAGACACAATAAGAAAGGACTGAACAAAAAACCAGAACAAGACTGATCTAGCCAAAATAATAATAATAATAATAATTCAAACTAATGAACACAATATTAACGGAATTATAAATAAGTAATCAAAACACCAAAACAACCCAAAGAGCCTAACATCGAGTTGTCAATCTTCAAATGAGGGAGTCTGCTTTCTCTAAATCATTGCAAATTGGATAACACTTGAATTGTTTTTATCTAAAGTTATTTGAGAAGGTGAAACTCACTGTTTATTATGAATTGTTATATATATAGTTATAGTTGAAGTGTACTGTCAGTATCAGTAGCATTTTTGTCCCACATAAGAGCCACACATTATGTGTTGATTTCCTTATCAGCAGTGACCAGGCCATACTGCGACTTCCTCCTTCGTCAGAAACATCCATCCTTACCCACTGCTCTCCCCCAGCAGCAGGTCTTCATGTTGGCCGAGCCCAAGCGCAAAACCACCTTCTGGCATAACATTGGGAGACTGACACCTTTCAAGAAATAAAAATCAAACCAGAAAGGAGAAGCAAAGTTGTGAGAAAGAGAAGAGTTCGTGCCTCCATAGAGCCTTTTTAATCATTCCACTTTTCTTTCCTATGTATAACCTTTCCTGGAGGGATTTGTGGACTTGTATAGATAAAGTGGACTATAATAAAGGTAAAACCATCTTTTGAAAGCACTTTATTGGTTGGATAACAATCAGACATGACAAGGTCTCCTCGTTACCCTTGAGTTAAACAGTCACAATAAATTCTTGCCTAATGTACTTATGCTCCTTAAGACAAAAACTGACTGGTATTAATTCTGTTTTACTGCTGCAACTTATTGTGGGTCTCCTGGCTAAACTGCCTCTGTGAAAATGTTGCTTGGCAACAAAACTGTGTTTATTTACACTGCTCTGTGCTTTTATTTTATAATTTAACAAAAATTTCAGACTTTTCATTGTGTGGTAGAATTTCATATTCATGCTTATTCTGTCTGCTTTAAAAAAAATGAGGGAAACTATTTGGAGAATAAAATTCCTTGTGTTTTCTCTTTGCTAATGTATAGGGTCTTTTTACATGCTTTAAGTATTCTGTGGACTTTGTGTGTTGTTTTGGATTTGAATTTTCTCTTCTGATGTGCTAATATTCTAATATTTCCCAAGGAAGATTAGAGTACTTCAGTCTAAGGTCAAATGCCCAGCATAACCAAAAACACCAGCAACACATTCCAGCAGTCTGATCCTTGACCTCTCCACATCACTGAAAGTAAACCATTTATTCTATTTCTTATTTTTATTTCATTTTATATTTTACACAGTGTGATCTGACATGCATAAATATAACCAAACAATACAAGCTCAATAATAAAACCCTTATTATACTTTGGGGTGCGGTGCAAGGTGGCAATAATAGTGGGAGTTGGTCCAGAGAGCTGATATACAATTGCTTCAAATGAATGACAACAACAGTTACAGGTGCCACCCTCCACTTCTCGTGGGTAGATTATCATGAGACATCGCCGACTGTTAGATTAAGCACAGAAAATCTAACATTCGGTCAGAAATTATGTCCTGCACAAGATACCCCATACTAGTTAGCGAGTCAATGTTGAAGAGACCAAAGTTGATGGTTTTATTGTGATTGACAACCAAGTTAGCTGACCGAGCCAGGAGGGCAAACACACTGTGCTCAACGCAATGTTTCTCGGTAGACGATGAATAGTAGACCAGGTATATTTAATGGAGTTAGGTATGTCACAGCAAAAGATCCGGTGAGAGCCTCGATGGGTGTATTTTGGACGGTGCAGGTGGAAAATATTGTGGTGTAGAAGCTGAGCTGATGGTGGTAACCCATGCATATGTAAACAGATCTTTAAAAGCTCTGTGGCAAAGTACTGGAGCAGTGCTGTCATGGTGATGAACCAAAAATGACACAATCCAGGTTAGTATAAGCCACACATAGCAGCTCCAAATAGCTGCTGGAGACAAGGCATAGGCTAATGGTCTTCACTAAAACAAAGCAAAGGATGGATGTAGTTTACTGAAAAAGAAGGCTGAATTAACAATCAGTACATAGATAACAAAAGCAAAGTCAACAAAAACAATAAAATGACTAAAAGACCTTAAAAACAAGTCAGGGAGCAGCATCTGCAACAACGCAGCAGCATTCACTGTTACTGTAAGTGCAGTGGTGTGAAATTCAATTTGATATTTTACTTAATCACAGTTGCAACCGAGAGGCCCAAAACGACTTTATCTCAGCAAAATAAGTGCAAAAGAGAGAATTTTCGGTTTCTCAACTCCATATTCTATATTCCACCTTATTTACGGTCTAAACCAGTGTTTCTCAATTCCGGTCCTCAGGCCCCCCTGCCCTGCATGTTTTAGGTTTTTTCCTTCTGCTACACACCTGGATTGAATATTTTTGTGATCAACAGACTTCTGCAGTACTTGATGGTCATGCAATCATTTGAATCAGCTGTTCTGGAATAGAGGCTCATCTAAAACATGCAGAGCAGCGGGGCGGTGAGGACTGGAATTGAGAAGCACTGGTCTAAACACATCAGAATGATGAAGATTAACAGTTTTAGTAGTTTGAAACTAGAATCCAGAACTGTGAAACTTAAAGTTCTCAGTTTTTTGAATCTTTTGCTGAGATAAAGCTGTTTTGGCCCTCTCAGTTGCAACTCTCCTGAAACACAACATTTTGACTTGGTTCTAGTTGCAAAGCACTAGAACAGGGACATGCAGAGGGGGATCAGAGGGGTCTTGAGCCCCTGCCCCTTTTATCCTTTATGGTCCTATTGCCCTTTTTGATTTTTTTTTTTTGTCAAGTTTTTTTTTTTTTTTTTTTTTAGTTGTGGGTCAGGGAGCCTCTTAGTGCCCCTCAACAATAATATTTAGCTAAATATAATTTTGCAAGATAAATTAGTCTGGCTGCCCTCAGTCTAATGATGACCCAGTCTAATAATGAGGATTTTCAGTTTCTCTGCCTCCATGTTTTTCAGACACCAGGCCCAAGGTGGGGAGGAGGGGGGCGGATCTGCGTCCTCCAACTATGGACAAGATTTTTTTTGACAAAATAAACATATAGGTCTGATGTTGAAGTTAGAAAAACCGTTTATTTTTCGTAATAAGAAATATGAAAAATAGTCAAAGACCATCTTCGCAATACACAGGCCATACTTTTTCCAGCCCCTGAAACAGAAGCAAACACTGTACGTTCAGCCCCATAGGTCAGTATGTGCCTAGGTTGGCAATCCAAAGCAAGGCCGCCTTTGTTTTCTGGCCCCTGGTCCAGTTTGGATTTTGTTCCAGGACCATGACCCTCGCTGAGCCCCAGCTGTGCTGGATGTAATGCGAGCTCAGCAAGGCATAGGCCTTCCTCACCATCCTCCGGGACACATCTCACTCGTGTAAAACCAGTCGCGCCAGCATTGTATTTGCCGTATGACCCACAAATCTGTTTCTGCAAACCGGGCAACTAATTAAATAAACACAATTTTGTCTTTGTGGGCCCCCGCCAGGTGGGACTAAATAAACTTTGTGGGTACAATGATGTAGCAGCCATTTTTGGTGTCTGAAGCATTGCCCCTGCCCAATTGCACTCTGCTCCATCTGAAATCTGATTTTGGCATGAACGTGATGGTCCCTCAGGTTCCTGTTTGGTCAGAAAGCAGGTATGACCCTCCTATTGGTCAGCCTTCCACTAAGAGACTGGAATCCTACAAAAAAATTTCTCATAACCTTGGTCCAGATTGACGTTAGCAGGTGAGTAGGTGCTGATAAAAGGAAGTGACATGGTTCGATCTGGCTGCTTGGATTCAGAAAAGGTCCTCAAACACCTCCTTAAGAACCTCTGATACCCCCTGCTGGACAAAGCTATGAACAGAACCCTAACTGCTTCATAAAAATCTGATTTTTATGAAACCATGCTGTGTGTCCGGTATAAAAATCAGAGTTAAATCGAGTTAAATTGAGACTTCTGTGAGTATTTGTGCAAGATTATGTGTGAAGTGTCAAACAGAATTATTGAGGAACCCCCATCAACCTTTTATTCTCAAAAGATGAATAAGGAATTGAAAGTAGTCTGATTTAAAGTTAATTAAACCTTTATTTCTAAAAGAACACCAGAATCTGGTTTTAAACCGAGTTAAATCCACCTTTTATCTTCTATTCTTTACCTTTACTATTTCGTTTTTTAGTGATGCCAAAAGAAGCTATATAACTAATCTGAGCCCGGAGAAGACTTACCCAGTGTTAGCTGCAACGGTTCAGCTGTAGCCTCACGTGTTCTCTGTGATCAAAATGGCAGCATGCAGCTGTAGTACATAGTAAAGAAGGAACCGTAATGCACTCTGGGGAAGTCCAGCAGCCATATAGTCCAAACCTGATTGTCCGTTCAGGTTCTTTGCCGATCTCTAACTTGTTTCAAAGCTTGTTTTAATGCATCTAGGTCGAAAGAGGAGCTCATGCTGATTTTCAACAGTATATAGTTTGTCAGATGTTAAGACTCCTGTCCCCAAAATGCAATAAACAGCCAGTATAAAATCAATTAGCAAATTTTGTTTTTACACAAATAAGGTGTGCATTTTCAGAAAGTAACCCAAAAACAAAACAAAGTAAATGGGGGAAAAAAATCTTAGCCTGCCCTCACAAACACTAAGGCAAGACAAATAATCCAAAACTTGGTGGACTAAAAAAGGAAATCAAATTCAAGAGACAGCAGGAGCAGTGATATAACTGCATCAGATAAACCCACGTTCTCTGGTTTACCACACCAACTCTAAAGTCACCCTTGATGTGGTAGATCTGATGCAGCCCTGCGGCATCGAGTAACCACATCCCCAGGTAACGCAACCCCAAAACGTCATTAATAGGAGGGCCCAGGCAGCAAACAGTGGCGCAGCACACACCTGGTCACACAGGAAATTGACACTTTGCCACCATCCTTCCAGCTTCCCTTTTAAGGAAGCTCAAGCCGTGGAGGGAGTGACACCTGGTGGTTCCTTAGAGCGAAGACCTAAAGCTGAGCAGGGTGTGTGCATTTCATCTCGGGGTAGCCATGTTTGTTTGGTGATGTCTTTAATGTATTTATCTCCTTTAGCTCCACAGACAATGCTCTGAGGCCCAAAAGGTGGAGGCGAAGCTGTGAGGGATACACAGACCTGGGCACTTTTCTCAAGTCTTTTAGGATAACCCTGAATGATGTGCCGCCTCCTAAAAAGAAAGTGGAGGCCGGATTCCGCCCTGACAAGTAGCCTCCTTGACAAGTTGCAGTTAATTCAGTTTAAGACAAGGCGGTACCACCTGATTGAGTTTTTTTTTTTCTTTTCCTCCTCTTACTGACCCTACCATACCAGGTTCTGATGCAGGGCATGTTATATTCAGGTCTAACCGCATGCATGGGTAGTTTCTGTCTCCTGGCTAAATGGAGCCGGTAGAAGCTGGAGAGCTTCATTGCAAAGTCCAACTGAGCTGGGAACTCTAACACTGCAGAGGAGGTCCTGGAGATCTGCACAGCGCTATCCACCGCACCCCAAAAGCCAGCCAGGACTTTATGTGCCACATCCAGGACCAGAGGTGAATGGGACTTGTCATTTCGGAGAGCAAGAACACTGTCAGCAGAAGAGGTGGGTTCCTTGATCTTGTTTTGGAAACTGACACTTCTGTAATTAAAATAATAAATTAATAACTTTTTTTTTCTTCCACATGACTCTTTGCAACCAGGACTTTCATCAAGGGGTCCATCGCATGTGACTACCATGGAATATTCACTATTGCTGCCGAGGCTGGCAGCTTGCAGGGTCCCTGAAGGCAGGACAAGATGCATAGATTTACTTTTTCAAGTCTGGGGACCATGGACTTCTGCATAAACTCTCAAGTCCACCTGTGTGACAGTCATCCGCAGCTCGCCATCTTTGGCTGACCAATAAACCGTTCTGCCAACATCATCAACACCAAATGTCTGTTAGTGAAGTTCCCAGGCCTGGCAGACCCATTTCTCCTAATAAAAACAAGAGACATCAAGCTGGGAGAGGAAATCTACGTGGACCATGGGGTGAGGCAGCACTCGTTTAGGGTTGGAAGGCCAGGGGATGATCTTAGCTGGATGGGTGAGGTTGGCTCACCTCCCAAGAGAAATAATTTAGTCTTATGTTGACAATGTTCTATTCAATAAAATTTGAAGTTTTAGTTTTGTAATTGCTCTTTTCTGTGTACTCCAAAGTTCAGTATGACTTTAAATTGTGTTGTTGCAATTAAAGTTTTTGTTTTGTCTTGTGCTGCTAATAACCCCCCCGCCCCCCATTTTTTCCTTCTGGTCCTGGATAGAAGACGGTTGACCAACCATGGTACAGAATGTTTTCTTTTTACATTTGTTGTAAACTTTGGCTTTGAGCATGTGTAAAATGTTTGGTCAAAAGGCCAAAACAGCTGACCTTCCTTGCAGTGGAGGACATTTTGTGTCAGTTCAACCCAAAATAATTCTTCTTTGGGCTTCTTGCTGTTCCTGTTATCGTCCACTAGATTGAGGCATTGCCATGTCAGGTGGAATCTGGATCACTGTCACAGCTATTTTCAACTTTAGCATTGCTTCCTGTTGCATAAAGATGGCCTAAATGAAACACACTGAGGTTTGTGGATTAGAGCTGAGAAAATGGAACATATTAAGAGGTCAGATTCCTTTTGCAAGATACTGTAAATGTCATGTTGGGTTCCAGTTTCTATACCCACATACAGAACACCACCAGGAGAACAGATAATCAGATAAATAAAGTTTATTTCAACAATGTGAGAATCTGAGTCTGGTCCTTGGGAGGGTCTACCAGGGTCGTCTGTTTTCTGAAGAGTAGTGAGAGGAAAATTTTGAGTTCGAGGTCGTCAGAAAGATTGAATCTTTGAAACAATCAGAAAGATCTTACTTGTTTTAATTCCACAGACTTTAACCAAAGAGGAGATACTGTGGGTTCCAGGGTTGGGTCTCTTTGTGGGCATTCTTGAAGTAATTCAGGTTCCAGTGAGTTCTTGATAGAATGGATTCTTTGTTGGAGATGAGGAGGCCACATGTGGTGGAGGGCAGACAGGTAAGTACAGGCAAGGAGGAGTGAGCCAACGGTTTCAAGGTTTTTGCAGTCAGCTCCTCATATACTCCAGGATGATTAGCTGATAGATCACAGGTGCACTGGCTGAGTCAGCGTGCACGGTCTCCACAGGTGCAGCCTCCAGTCGCCCTCTAGTGGATGAAGAGGGGAAGCAGCAGGCAGACAAAATCCCCCCCCACGCCCCCCCCCCACACACACATACACACAAAGAAACAAAAAACCCTGGTTCCCAACTTGCTGGAGTAGTTATTTTATTTAAAAATGTAATAGGACAGAATCCAAGACTTTCATTTTTATCCAACCAAACTTTAAATTTTTCCAAATCTGTTTCTGCTCAACCTGTAAAGCAACAAACATAAAAAAATGCTCATTATTTCCGAAAAACATGTAAACTCCATGTTGACAACTCCATGAGCACCACCGAAGCTCTTTGTCAGATGTTCCAATATTTTATTGGAACATCTTTATTCATAACTTTAACTGGAAAAGGATTTGGACTTTACCAAATATATGATAACTAATAAAGTAAAAGTGTCTTTTAAAATTATTCACAGAATTTACCCATCCAAAGTTTTTCTACAACATTTTAACAATAATGGATATTATTTGCTCTTTTGTGAAGGAAACGCAGAAGATGTTTGATTTATTTTGGACTTTTCTCTATTCAATTTTGGAAAAGTATTTTCATTGTGATTTCTGCTTCTATTGAACCGTATGTCTCCATTTTTTAACATGTATTGTTTTGCTTCATTAACTATCCAACAGCTAAAAAAACATTTTTATATTATTAATCTTATTATATACTTAGCCAAATGGCACATGCATAAATGCAGTTACACTAATAAAAACAAAAAATCTTTCCATTTTTGGCAATGAGATCAAACAATATATCAACACTATTGGAAATTCCAACAATACTAAAGCTATTAAAATTTGCACTTTATGTTCTCTTTAATTTATTTATGTAATACTAGGCTGATGTACTGCCTCAATCTTTGTTGCCACCTGGCGGTCATTAATTCACACTCTATGCTGTTTTTGTAATATCTATTTTGTATGTCAATCAAGATTATAAACAAACAGAAAAAGACAGATGTATCCTGGAAGGCGTGCCATGTGCATGCTGGAGGAGAGAGGGCGGAGGGTCAGTGAAAGGGTTTTAAGGTACTCCCCCTTCTGGCAGCCCCATGAGTAGCATCATAAAACAACATGGAACTATACACTTTGAAAATATATACAAATACATGAAAACAGAAATTAAAAATACTTCTACAAATAGATGGGCTGTTATTGGCCTTACAGTGTATTACAATAACATTATTTAATATATATACATTGATATCTTTTTTTTTAACTTAATATCATGCACAGTTTTGTAATATAATAAAATTTGCAATTTGTTATAAAATAAATGGCATTTTTAAAATTGTTAATATTTGTCGGTCTCTTTCATTTGATTAGGTTTTGATGTGGTTTGGACTTCTTTGGAGAGTTTCATTTCCAATGACAGTCCTATGCAGCCATCTAGTGGAGGATTAGGGATATAGGATGAAACCCACTTGCACATTAGAGCAAACAAAATAAATAAAAAATTGTAGAGGGGACAATCTTGGCACAGAGACTATGTGGAAGGGGCCTTACATACCCTCCAAGTTTGGTCGGTGTGGCTCCTTCCCTTGACACACCTGCCATTGACCTCCATTCATTTAAAGAATTGCTCATTAAAAGCAACTCCAAAATTATAAGTGCTCTTTTGACCAAATTTGGTTTTCTATGCTCCCTCCAACCCTCTGCAGGTGCCCACCATGTTTGGTGGTCTGAGCTAAAGACTCCCATTCATTTTTCTGCCTACTCAGTCTGGCTAGGATTTCCTATAGGGCTGGGTTTTAACCTAACTTCAATTACCTCTTACTTCAACTTAACCAGATTTTATTCCATTTTTATTTATTTTTTAACTCTGTTTTGGAAATAAATCACACTTCACTTTTAAAATGCCATCTCTGAGCCTCTGTTGGATGAAGGATTTGCTGCTCTGAAGACTGGACTTTGGTTTTAAGTGTCTACTCTTTTAACCATGTTTTATTTGATTTCATTTGTCTTCAAACTCAGTTTTTAAGACAGAAATCACAGCTCAGATTCAAATATAATCTCTGAGCTTCTGCTATGTGCCAAAATGTGTGTAAAAGCCATTCTGAACATCAGAAATGGCCTTTAAAATGTCTGTCAGCATTTCAGCATTTCCCAGAATGCATTGCATAGTGGGGCTTCAAATTCTAGCTTGTAGTTCAACTGTTTTTGCTGCAAACCTTAATAAACCATATACTGTTGTGATCAGAATGAGCTCAGCTGTTGAACTGGATGACTTAGAATGAACTTGGAAACATGTAGAAAATCTGCACCATGACACAGAATGGAGTGCATTTAGTTGAACTGCTGCCTGCTGATCATAGAAGATGTATCCCATGGTGGCAGTTTTGGGTAATATACCCTTTTTGGATCACATAATATTGTTCATTCTAGAGGTCTTGCGGTGTATGATGGCGCTAGAATGATTTTTTACACATACTGGGGTGATCAATCCCAGCAGGTGCCTGGAGACCTGGAAGGCTGCAGCTTCCTGTGGCTCTTCCAGGTTCTCCTTCCTTCCTTGGGAAAGGTGATACTTTGCTATGGCTTCTTTTTTTCATTCCTCTAGGTAGCACTGTGGCATGGGGAGATGTAACATTGTGGAGATCTGCTGGTACACAGTCCATGTTGGCTAGCTTGGTAAAGGTGAGTCAGTACCCCCCACCAAGCAGACCATCGGTACTCAACCCAGACCAAAAGAGAATCAACGGAGAACGCTTCTGCTTCCTGGGCATGCTAGTTCCACCTTGCGGTGTTAACGGATAGCGTGTTTTTGAAACCAGGGGCACGGTACGTATCAGCCTTCCCAGGTTCCGCCTATAGGAACAGCACGTGGGAAAGGTGACTCTAGGACTCAAGAGTCTTAAATGCAGTCCAGTCTTCTATGAGCAACAGCCTCACACACACATGTATGCCAACTGGTATTCTCTCTTCAATCTTACAGCTCCACTCCCAACTGCAAAAGGAATGAATGTTCATTTCAGGAAATCTTCAGCTTAAAGGTCTGCTAAACAGCCTTAACCTCCTAAGACCTGAGCTCCTTTATTATTAAATCCTAATTTTTGCAATTATTAGGTCCCAATCAGCCCAAATATAAAATTTGTTTTACATGATGTAGTTGAGAAAAATTATGTCCACATATGAGGACACTCAATTTAAATTGCAGACAACATTCTCACAGTTTAATTAAATCCAAAACCTTTAGTTTCTCTTCACATTAGTATCATTTCTGAGTTCAGAAACAAAATGATACACAGTAGTGACTGTTTCAGCAATGTGTCCCATTCAAAGTACTACTGACAGGTATGGGAAGACATAAGTCCCTAAAGTAAAATCCCTCAAAGTAAATTGCATTGCTGCTGTTCTAAACAGTTAATTTCAATTTCTGAATATGCTATGGTACTTGAAACATTTAATTCAATCTTAATCTACTTCAAGCTATTTTTTCCCCTTATGGGATCATGCATGTAAACAGCTTTGTAACAATTATAATCTGCCTGTAAGCAGAGCACCTTGCAAATAAAACTGCACTCAATTTGTTGATGTGCTTTTTGTGGGATTTTATTTTTTGTTTATATTGGGTTTATTTCTCTAGTGAGTCTCCATGTTGTCCTGTCCTCACCTTTAATGTTCCCAGGTGTCTCATTCCCTGATTATCCCCTCTTTATTTAAACCCACCTGTGCTCTTTGTTGTCAGGTCCTTGTCCAAGTTGTAGTTCCAGTCTGTCCATGTATCGCATGTTCCTTGTTAGCCAGTGCTATCAGTGTGAGAGCTTTACTGTCCGCTCAATTGTGCTGCCTGTGTTTTGAACCATTTTGGATACCTTTTTAATTAAAATCCATTTTTTTCATCTCTCAACCTGGTCCCACGACATCTTCCTCACTGCACCTCAATCCAATTCATGACACTTGTATTCTTTGCTGCCTTTGGCATATGGGCATTAGCTGTTCCATGGACTGAGGCATGGAGCAATGCCTTCACTGGGTGCTTTATCCATTGGAGTAAAATGTCTGGGTCCAATTCCCACTCTGTTAAGTCAGTTATCATCAAGCTA